AAGTCCTGATAAGTTAGAACCTATTGGAGATAGACTTAAAATCTGGCATTGCTACAGGTGAGCTGTGCCCTAGGATCAGGTGCATCAGGTGAAGAGCAGTTAGTTGCATATAGAGGACCTTCCTTTTTTGGGTAGGTATATATGCTTTCCAAACTAGAAACATTGGGATAAGAAGTTGAGTTTGCTATGTTTAAGTTCTTATTAAACTGTCTAATAAAGAAAGGTTACCCAGTCTGAGGTACTTCTTTATAGCAATGAGAATAGACCAATACAAATAGTTCTATAGTCATAACTCGGCAATTCGCTCAAAGTATATAACCTAGAGAAGGTATTACAAAACAGACTAAGGAGACATGTACAAGAATATACAAAACATAAAAGGATCATAATTAATAGGGAAGGAGGGAGAAGAAGAGAGGGAGGAGGGAAGAAAAGACAGAACAACCCAAATGCTGTCATTAGGAGAATGAACAAACTCTCACAATGGGATATTATCAAAAATTAATTATATGCAATAATATGGAGGAATGATACAATGTTGGACTCTCCTGCAATCTCATGAATGCAGTTTCAATTTTTAAACTGGTTAATGCTAGTATATCGAAAAACTATTGGCTTGTATACTTACCTTGTATCTAGACACCTTAACACATTTTATTAAGTTTTTTAAGGTTTAAAAAATATATAATTTGCAAATAGCTATACTTTTGTCTCTTTTCCAATTTTCATGCTAATTTTTAAAATTTCTTTGGTTCTTTTTGGGTTATTTACTTAGCTTGAATTTCCAAAAATAATCTTAAATAATAGAGCTAATGCAATCATTCTTTCTTATTCCCAATTCTAAAATAGAGAATTTCACTATAGGTTACTGTTTTCTGATCATGGTAATGTTTAAGCAGTTTCTTGCTGCCGAATTAATTTAGCTTTTAAGGAATAGCTGCTGAATATTGCCACATGACTTTAATGGCATTCATTGATATGTGGTTTTTCTTCTACAAGTGTCGATATAGTATGTTTATAGATTTCTTGATGTCAGGCTATTCTTTCCTGAAATAAAACCTCCATGGTTGTATTATTCATGTGATAAACTGGTAGATTCAATTTCTAATATAATTTGAAACTATTTTCATTCAATAAGTTGTCTATACTGTTTTTTAATCTTCATCAGATTTTGGTATTATGATCCATAAATTGAGGAACTTATTGCATGCGAATTAATTTAACAGAAATTCTCTTACTTAAAAGTTGATATAAAGTAGGTGTGATGGAATGCACCTGTAATCCCAGCTACTTAGGAGGCTGAGGCAGGATGGTCACTTAAGCCCAGGAGTCCGAGGCTGCAATGTGCTTAATGATTGCACCTGTGAATAGCCACTGCACTCCATCCTGGGTAACACAGTGAGACCCTGTCTATTGAAAAAGAAAAAAAAAAGGTAGGACACAAGCAGCCAACATGATCTAATGGGTGAATGTAGAACACTCCATCCACACAGTTTTGTTTTTGTTTTTTCCAAACAACCACAGAACATTCACCAAGATAGACCATATCCTAGATCATAAAGCAAATTTAAAAGAATAGAGGTCATGTGCTGTACATTCTTGGGCCATAATAGAATCAGATACAAGTCAATAATAGACTACTAGGCACAGTACCTCATGCTTGTAGTCTCAGCACTTTGGGAGACTAAAGTGGGAGGATTGCTTGAGGCCAGTTCAGGACCAGCCTGATCAACATAGCAAGACCCTTATCTCTTAAAAATTTAATGTGTTATGAGTTAAAACTTTGGATGACTGAAAATTATAGTAGGAAAATTGCTAAATACATAAATAATACTTAATCAATAGCACAAAGAAGAAGACATAAATCTTTGTTTTCATTTATTTTTTTGAGACAGAGTCTCCCTTTGTTGCCTAGGCTGGAGTGCAGTGGCGCACTCTCAGCTTACTGCAACCTCTGCCTCTGGGTTCAAGTGATTCTCCTGCCTCAGCCTCCCTCATAGTTTGGACTTCAGGTGTGTGTACCACCATGCCTGGCTAATTTTTTGTATTTTTAGTAGAGATAGGGTTTCACCATGTTGACCAGGCTGGTCTTGAACTCCTGACCTCAGGTGATCTGCCCACCTCAGCCTCCCAAATTGCTGGGATTACAAGCATGAGCCACCATGCTGAGCCCTGTTTTCTTTGTTTGTTTGTTTGAGACTTGGTCTCACTCTGTCACCCAGACTAGAGTACAGTGGCATGATTTTGGCAGCCTCAACCTTCCAGGGTTCAGGTGATCCTCCCACCTCAGCCTTCTGAGTAGCTGGGACTACAGGCATGTGCCACCATACCTGGCTAATTTCTCTATTTTTTGTAGAGACGGGGTTTTGCCATGTTGCCTAAGCTGATCTTGAATTGCTGAGCTCAAGTGATCCTCCTGCCTCAGGCTCCCAAGGTGCTATGATTATAGGCGTAAACCACAACATCCAGCCTAAGACAGGAAATTTTTTAAAAATACATAATGAATGACAAAATACAACATATCAACATATATGTGGCTGGGCGCAGTGGCTCACACCTGTAATCCCAGCACTTTGGGAGGCCGAGGCAGGTGGATCATCTGAAGTCAGGAGTTCAAGACCAGTCTGGCCAAAATCGCAAAACCCCATCTCTACTTAAAATACAAGAATTAGCCAGGCATAGTGGCAGATGCCTGTAATCCCAGATACTTGGGAGGCTGAGGCAGGAGAATTGCTTGAACCTGGGAGATGGAGGTTGCAGTGAGCCCAGATCACACCACTGCACTCCAGCCTGGGCAACAGAGTGAGACTCTGTCGGAAAACAACAACAAAAAATACATATATATATATATATATATATATATATATATATATATATAGCAATTAAAGAGTACTGAGAAATATTATAGGTGCTAAATGATTGCATTAGAAACAGCAAAGGTCTCAATAAGTTCCTAACTCAAGAACCTAGAAAAAGAAGAGCAAAATACAGTTAACCCTTGAACAACATGAGTTTGAACTCTGCACGTCCACTTACACATGGATTTTCTTCCACCTTTGCCCCCAAGACAGGAAAAACAACCTCTTCTTTCTCCTCCTCAGCTTACCCAACCTGATGATGACAGGGATGAAGACTCATGATAATCTACTTCTACTTAATGAATAGTAAATATATTTTCCTTATGATTTTAACATTTTTCTTTATTATAAAAATACAGTACATATTACATAAACATTTGTTAATTGACTGTTTTGGTCAACAGTAAGCTATTAGTACTTAAGTTTGATGGGACTCAAAAGTCATACATGGATTTCCAGATATGAGAGGGGTCAGCAACACTAACCCCTGCCTTGTTCAAAGGTCAATTGTATAACTCTCACACAATACTAAAGTAAATTCAAAATTGTACAGCCACTCTGGAAACCAGTTTGACAGTTTTGCCTTAAAAAAAAAACAACGCTTAACTCCTGATCCAGTGATCCCACTTCCAGATATTTATCTAAGTGAAATAAAAACAAATTTATACACACACACACACACACACAGTGAAAATTTATAGTAGACTCATAACAGCCAAAAACGGGAAAACACTAAGGTCCCTCAACTGCAGAACTAATAACTACTGTGGCATATCCATTCAATAAGACAGTAATCGGCAGTTAAAGAAACGCACAATTCACCAATAGCAAGGTTGAATCTCAAATACATTATACTCAGTGGAGACAGAAACCAAAAGTTACAAACATGATTCCATGTATACAATATTTCTGGGGGGAAAAACCTTTATAGGGACAGAAAACAGACCCGTGGGTGCCAGGAGCTTGACTTTACATCCACAGAGGCCAACTTGCCATTTTCTATCTGGGCTATTAACAACTTTGAACCTAGTTGGAGAATCAATCTCTTCAGAAGATTGTCAGGAATAAAGTAAAAGTGTCCTTAATGTAGTACAAACATCGTTTACTGCTCCTTCCCGCCTGGTGCCTGATACTGCGTGATCCGGAAAATGGGTTAATGAAATTCTAGCAGTGCTGGACGATGGAGGATGTGAACCCTGGTCAGGACAGGAGTGGCAACATCGGTGCTGAGGCTGAGACACCTATGGAGGACTGTCACTCCCACGGCTTCCAGTGCTTGGAGGAATCCTTGGGTGTGTGGCCTTCTTGGCCAGGCTTCTGCGGCCTCACGTTATTGGAGCATTCGTTGTATCCCTGAGGTTGCAGCTCTCTCTTAAGTTTGCTGTGGCTGAGCCAGGCAAGGCATAGGCGGATTTCTACAGAAATTATGGCTCCATGAAAGATTTTGAGAAGAGGAAGGTTGGTATCTTTCAGAGTGCAGAGTAATTTTGTACTATAAGGAATCTCTTTGGGTATAATAACATGGACGTTTGTCACTGACCTGTGTCCCTGAACTGTAACACACGAACATGTGGGCTTAGAAATAGTTTTGCTTAGGCCGGGCGCGGTGGCTCAAGCCTGTAATCCCAGCACTTTGGGAGGCTGAGGCGGGTGGATCACAAGGTCGAGAGATCGAGACCATCCTGGTCAACATGGTGAAACCCCGTCTCTACTAAAAATACAAAAAATTAGCTGGGCATGGTGGCGCGTGCCTGTAATCCCAGCTACTCAGGAGGCTGAGGCAGGAGAATTGCCTGAACCCAGGAGGCGGAGGTTGCGGTGAGCCGAGATCGCGCCATTGCACTCCAGCCTGGGTAACAAGAGCGAAACTCCGTCTCAAAAAAAAAAAAAAAAAAAAAAGAAAAGAAAAGAAATAGTTTTGCTTGATACATGGAGAACAAAGAAGAACGCGTGGCGCTTCCTTCCCTGGTGCCCAGGATGGTTTGGGAAAGTCTCGCCTTCATCCTCCCCACAGTTTGGCGATTTTGAAACGGGATCTCGCTCTCCGCGGAAGACTGCAGAGCTCTGCACCCCGGCCTGGCCCGGCGCACCTCGCAGGCCCGGCTCTCCCCTGCGCGCTCCGGGCCGGGTGCGGCGCGTGTGCGGAGCCGCAGCGGTGACACGCAACGCCGGCCGCCCCGGGCCGGGGGAGGCGCGCGCCGAGCGGCGACGGCGGGCGGGCCTGGCGCGCAGCGGCGCTCGCTCGCCGGCTCCCGAGGAAGAGCAGCGGGCCCCGCCGCCGCCGCTGCCGCCGCCCGATGGCGAAGCTGCGGGACTGCCTGCCGCGCTTGATGCTCACGCTCCGGTCCCTGCTCTTCTGGTCCCTGGTCTACTGCTACTGCGGGCTCTGCGCCTCCATCCACCTGCTCAAACTTTTGTGGAGCCTCGGCAAGGGGCCGGCGCAGACCTTCCGGCGGCCCGCCCGGGAGAACCCGCCCGCCTGCCTGAGCGACCCCTCCTTGGGCACCCACTGCTACGTGCGGATCAAGGTGAAGGACGGCGCGGGCCTGGCGGGAGCGGGAGGGAGCATGACGGCCGCGAGGGCAGGGGGCGTCGGGCTGCTCCTGCCGAGACGCCGACTCAGCGTCCCCTAGTGTCCCGGCGGGAGGGGTCGGGTCCCTGTGTGCCGTGTGTGTGTGTGTGTGTGTGTGTGTGTGTGTGTGCGCGCGCGCGCGCGTGTGTGTGTGTGTGCGTGTGTGCGCGCGCGCTTCTTTAATCAGGGTCCTGTTCTATTACTGTCCCCCGACCCCACACAACCCAGAATAATCCTGCTCTTTTTCCAGCAAGGGGAAGCTGCCTCCTGTCACCAATTTGCCCTTTAGAGCTCAGATCAGCTGTAGGGAATTGTTCCTTGTGGCACCCTAATGTCTCAGGAGGATGTTCTTGCCCAATTTTAGAGATAATAAGAGTAAATAGAATAAGTCTTTGGCAGTCATTAGTTTATTATGATCACAGACAACTTAGGTAGCATGAAACAGTAAGTAAATTGTGTGTGTTTGTGGAGAGGAATGCAGACTTATGAAGTTAGAGACCAAAGGAAAGGAATCAAAGGTAAATCCAGCCATGCCTGGAGACTCTAATTGTTCAAGCTTCCTCACAGCCCACAGATATTGTTTCCTGAGGCTCCAGGTGGTGGAGGAAAATAGTTCCCTGCAGTCTGACTCACAGGCCTTTCAAACCCAGCCTCATAAAAGGGGAGTCACCAAGTCCTGATTTCCTGTTAGGAGCTAAATTGCCCTGCAGCTGAAGTTCAGAAGGGCAAGAGAACTTTCTTGCCTGGGATCCACACAAGAATACAATCTGTTAAGATTTGTAAAGACAAAACTGAAAAACTTAGGACAGTGCCTGGTGCATAGTCAGTGCACTGAAGTATCTGCTAATTAAATCCAGTCAAGTGCCCATGGCATTTCATCCTCCAAGACTCACCACCAATAAAAGAAGTGAGGAGTGAAAGTAGTATAAGAATCATCTGGAATTTCATAAAATGCCTTTCCTCTGTCTCTGACCACCTAAAGAGCTTCCCCAAAGACAGAACGAAGGAGTGGAAAGAAAATTGTCCTGGGAGTTGTCAAGTAGGAGATTCTGGTCACAGTCCTGCTGTCAACCATTTTATGGCACATGTTACCATCTTTGGGCCTCAATCTGTAAAATGCTTCTTTCACATCTGAAAACTCAGTTGCTTGAGTTGCCTGATATTCAAAACCCGATGTCTATGTGCAGCTTCTGGTTCTTGATTTCTTCCTAGCTTGCTTGATTTCAGAGTTTTTTGCTTTTTTCTTGCTGCTCCCTCTACTTGCCTCCATTCAGTTTGCTTAGTGTTTGCTTGACTTCCTGTCTCATTCCCATGTTTTAAAATTTTCCTTGGGTCTTCTTGTCTCCCACACGCAGACGGAAGTCTTGAGCACTCAGGGCGTTCTGTTATTAGAAATGCACACTGACATGACACGAGGAGCAGGCAGCAAGGGGAACAGAACATGCAACACTCAAAATAATAATGTGGGAAGGAGAGACCTAAAAATAAGAGAAGGAGGTGTGAATTATATAACTGATTGCACAGCCCTTGACGGGCAAGCTGAGGAAAGTCGATTACTAAGAGGTAAACATGGCAGAAATATAAATTCAGATTAGAATTATTTACATGTCCTGCAGCATTAGAGGGAAATGAAATGTGACACATCAGTAAGATGAAGGTGACCAACAGTAAGATGAAAATTGCAAATTGTGACATTGCTTCAAAAGCTCATAATATATAAATTGACCTTGTACTGGAATAAGAAGAGAAGATACTGTCAAGGGAGTGTTGACAAAGCGAATCTGTCAATTTGCCCTATTAATAGGTCATGGGTTTGCTTTTCTTTCTGAAAATTAATAAAAGTACATTTTTCTCTTGATGTTAAAAATAAGGCAATTAAGTATGATGAAGATATTGTAAATACACAAATTTAAAAATATAAGACAAGTGATTGTTTTTTAGTAAAATGGAAATGCTAAATATATTTCTTTGACAGTCAACACTAAAATTCCATGCCGTCTACTTTCAGGATTCAGGGTTAAGATTTCACTATGTTGCTGCTGGAGAAAGAGGCAAACCACTTATGCTGCTGCTTCATGGATTTCCAGAATTCTGGTAAACTTACCAACTAATATTTATTGTTACATTAAAACTTGTCTTATTTTCTCTGTTCATTTTGTGCTGCTGTAACAGAATATCACAGTCTGGGTAATTTATAATGAACATACATTTACTTTCTCCGAGTTCCGGAGGCTGAGAAGTTCAGAAACAAGGTGCCACATCTGACAAGGGCCTTCTTGCTGCAACATCACATGGCAGAGGAGGAAGGGCAAAGGGGCAAAAGGGGCTGAAATTGCCCTTTCCTAATGGCAGTATTTCCATCTATAAGGGCAGAGCCCGAATGACCTAATCACTTCTTAAAGGTCCCACCTCTTAATACTGTTATAATGGCAACTTTTGAGACAGGGTCTTACTCTGTCACCCAGGCTGGGGCACAGGGGCATGATCACAGTTCACTGCTACAGCTTCAACCTCCCAGGTTTAAGCAATCCTCCCACCTCAGCCTACCAAGTAGCTGGGACTATAGGCATCTACCACCACACCTGGCTTTGTTTTTGTTGTTGTTGTTTGTTTTTTTTGTTTGTTTTTAAGAGTTGGGGTCTGCTATGTTGCCCAGGTTGGTCTTGAACTCCTGGGATCAAGCAATCCTCCCACCTTGGCCTCCCAAAGTGCTGGAATCACAGGTGTGAGCCACCACACCAAGCCTCTTGTAATGACTTTTAACAGACCTACTTTTTGATCATGTGCCCAAAATTCGTATTCCGAAATGCTGCTGAAGCACAGCAGTGGTTTTCCTCCTAAAGAGACCCACCTGCTACCATTTGTAATTTATATACTTTTTGACAATTAAAAGAAGTATCTTTTAATGTTTCAAATTTCTGAAATAGTAACAAAACAGTTTGGACAGAGTATCTACTATAGACCAACTACAACACTGGATGGGGAAAGGAGATTTTAAACAAATCAAAGACCTGGAGTCGGAAGCTTTTGGTTAGGCTGGGGGAGAAGGCAGAGAGCAGAGGACTCATGGAAACTGAAAATGAACTATTTCCTATGAACAGAGCAACAGGTTTATATGAATGCAGGATAAATTAAGTACCTAAACAGTTCATATTAGGAAGAAAATCTAGAGCCCAAAACATGCAATTATTATTTACTGTCTTCATTCATTTTTGTTGCTATAACAAAATACCTAAGATTGGGTAATTTATAAAACAACAGAAATTTCTTTCTCACCATTCTGGAGACTTGGAAGTCCAGGATCAAGGTACCAGCAGGTTCAGAGTCTGGTGATGTCCATGTCTGTGTGTCCAAGATGATGCCTTGTTGGTGTGTCCTCTGGAGGCAAATAAACTTCAACATATAAATTTTGAGAGAACACATTCAGACAGCAGTTATGGAAGGAGGAGTGTTCTATTCTCTATTGACCCCAATGGGCCACATAAGTACAGATGAAAGCAACATATGTTTAATCTTTATTTTTTTTTTTTATGAACATCTTTAAAAGAGGTGGTACATATCATGGCAGTAAAAAGAAAACCAGTTTTTGCTAGCACAGAGCTGTAAGAAATAGTTCATAAACCAAATAAGTCACGAAATTGATTTATTTAAAAGCCCAATTCCCTTAGTTGACTCAAAGGTAACTATCTGGTGTATTTTGAAAGATCCAGGACAATATCCTGTCCCCAAAATTCTCCCCTACTATCTTATAATACCTAGAATTCCACCATTACAGATTTCTTGCCTCCTTTAGAGTCTTAAAGATTTTATGTCACTCAAAATCCTGATTTAAAATGCATTTAGCACTAAAGGATTACTATCTTAAGACTTTTTTATATTTTTTAGACAGTCTTGCTCTGTTGCCCAGGCTGGAGTGCAGTGGTGCAATCCCAGCTCATCACAACCTCCATCTCCTGGGTTCAAGTGATTCTCCTGCTTCAGCCTCCCGAGCAGTTGGGATTACAAGTGTGTACCACACTCAGCTAATTTTTGAAGTTTTAGTAGATACAAGGTTTCACCATGTTGGCCAGGCCTGTCTCAAACTCCTGACCTCAGGTGATCTGCCCACCTTGGCCTCTCAAAATGCTGGGATTACAGGTGTGAGCCACCATGCCTGGCCCACTTTAATTAATACTTTGTGAGTGAAAGGGACTTTATGAATAAATGTATTAAGGATATTAGTGTACTAGGAAGTATTAGGCGCTGAAGAAAAGAGTGGAAGATGGCAAAGACACCTATACCTAATAATTTTGCCAGATTAAGAAGTCTTCCTTAGAAGATCAGAGGACACACCTGCATGAAGATTTTTTTCCCTTCTGGATTCATATACATAAATAAACATAGGTCATTTGCATGTTATGCTTTGATTTATTCTTTCATTTGGAGACAGCTTAATGAAGTGGTAGATTAGCAATTCGAGCATATGCATGTGGACTCACCTCTTGGAGTGCATGGCATGATTAGTTCACAGTAAAATGTTACTCAGAAGCATTGGTCAAATCTGCCTAATGCAGCATGAGCAGGACATTCTGGCTCAGCCACTAATTTGCTGCAAGATACCACATAGTCATCTACAATAATCTTGCAGAGTTGTGTGAGGATGAAGAGAGTCAAAAACGTGAAAAAATCTTTCACGTGGCCCCAGTGAATACTCAGTAAACATTCATTTTCTTCCTTCATTCCCATTCATTCAGCTTGGAGATCCATGCATCAGATAATTTCCTAACTTTGCTGATGATAATGATAATAGTTAACATTTTCTGATCATTTACTATGAGCCAGGTACTACTCTTTTTTATTTTTATTTTAAGTTCCAGAATACACGTGTAGGACATTTAGATTTGTTACATAGGTAAATGTGTGGCATGGTGGTTTGCTGCACCTGTCAACCCACCACCTAGGTATTAAGTCCAGCATGCATTAGCTATTTATCCGGATGCTCTCCCTCTCCCCACCCCCTCCCCACAGCCTCCAAGCCCTAGTGTGTGTTGTTCCCCTCCCGAGCCAGGTACTCTTATGTTTTATATATACCATCTCATTTAAGCCTCGTAGCTACCCTTCTGAAGTTGGCAGTATCAGAAAGTCAGATGCCCCTTGTTCTGGAAAGTCAGGGATGACCTCTGCTGTTTGTTCTCATTCTATAGGAATTATAGTAATCTCATTCCATAACATGCATGGAGTTTTACCTTTCAAATTTCATACCTTATACAAACATTCAAGAGGGTGTTAGGAAGTCAGCCAATAATATAAAAATACCCTAATCTAACATTTTAAATCATCATCCTAAATAAAATTCAAGATCTGCATCAGGGAGATGGTGTTTAACTTTTTAGAAAGAAAATAAAAGATTTAAAAACTATTTTCTTTTCTTTTTTGAGATGGGGTCTCGCTCTGTCACCCAGGCTGGAGTACAATGGCGCACTCTCAGCTCACTGCAACCTCTGCCTCCCAGGTTTAAGCAATTCTCCTGCCTTAGCCTCCTGAGTAGCTGGGATTACAGGTGTGCAGCACCATGCCCGGCTAATTTTTGTATTTTTAATAGAGAAGGGGTATCACCATGTTGATCAGGCTGGTTTCGAACTCCTGAACTCATGATCTGCCTGCCTCAGCCTCCCAAAGTGCTGGGATTACAGATGTAAGCCACTGCGCCTGGCAAAAGCTATTTTCTTTCTCTACCTCACATTAACCCCAGTATTTGTCCATTCTTATTCCTCTGGAACTTCACCTCTTTACATGTGGAACAATATACACAAAGATAAAAATGAACCTACAGTCACATTCACACAGGTCAGTAGATGCTCTCTGTCATGTTCTAAGAGATTTTGTGCATGGTTTTCACAGTCATGTCTCATTATTTATTCTTCATGAGAGCCCTTTTGCAAAATAGAAATGGCTGGTGATTCTTGTCCTAGAATCTTCAGGGGATGAAACAGCCTAGGAGGGGTCCAGCACTGGTCCCTGTACATCATTTCCATTTGCTCCAGCAAAGTCAAGTCTTCAATGTATCCAAAATGGATCTGGTCATTGTGAGGAATGGTTTAGTTTTTGGAAAGCTTCTAGAAATATGTTCACTCTGAAAAGCCATAGATTAAGATCTTCATATGTGAAGATCGTAGACAGGCATGAGTTCCTTCTATTCACTAAGTCTGTCATCCGTTACTTCAGCAAGAACATTGCTACAATTTAAAACAGCAACAACTACAAATGCAGATAGCTCAGCTACTCAAATAGATAATATTGAATTCATTGAACTTTACTGATCATTAATCTGAAAGCTACCTGGTTGTTCAGGGAGCATCCGAAAATACTAGATGGCGATTTTTGGTGATCAGATATCTCTGGAGTATGTCCTACTCTAAACCAAGACCCCTGTTGATGCTCACTCTTGTCTTTCTTTCGATTAATCAAATTGCCAATGTTACCCATTATGAGGTCTAGTCAATCCATTGAGGTGCTCGTGGAAACAATTAATAGAAAAAAAGTGGGGGCGGGGATCTTAGAATTTAGAACAAAACTCTAGGGCTTAAGTTTTAGGATAAATCTCTTTTTTAATTTAATTTTTTCATTTTAAAGTCCAAAAAAAAACTTCATACATGATATTTCAAATCAATTTCAATTTACATTTCAAATTTAAATGTTATTCCTCTAGCAATTAAGTTTTGACTAAATACACATGAAAGTATATGATTGATTATAGGTTAAGCAGGTCAGAAATATTTGATACAATAAAAACAAAAACAAAAAACCATGAATTGATCATGTATGTGGAAGTGCTTTTTAAAAAGAAAAGCACCATACAAATGAAACATATTATCTGCATTTATCATTTCCTGAGAATAGCTGTTGAGAAATGGTGATATTTAATGTATATGATTAGCTGTTACACAGCAACAATAAAATCCTGGGTCTTCTCAAAATCTAAAGGAAATATTAAACAAGATATACATCTACGGGATCTTTGACTAAATTAACCCAAAATAAGGGTATTTGTCAAAGGATCATTTTTCTCCCACTCTCTCTCCACTCCAATTTGCATCTCCTTTAAAAATATTTTGAGCTGAAGCAGGCAATTTCTTTGAGTCGTCTTCATCTCCAGCTGTATGGAATGTATGCGTCATCACTCAAGTGCTGAGACGAGTGAGGGCCCTCCATCATACAGCTGAATGCAGAAGCCAACAACTGTGGCTTTTCTCTGTGGTGAAGAGGAAGAGGAGAGTCACATCTGAATGTGGCCAGGCTAGCCTGGTAAAAACCAGGAGCCCTCCTTAGGTAAAGAACAATCAATGGGAAAGAGATTGGTTATTTTTCCTGAGTGTCCTCTGCTATAACTAAAGCTACCAGAAAAAAAAGCAATGTGGATGAAAATAATTTTGCTTATTTATAATATTTTCAGAGTTACTGCTTTTGTAATGTGTTTCATTCCTATATCAAGGAGATTGTTTTTGCTTTATTTACATAAATGGTATGTCCATCAGTCTAATACTGGGGTGACTTCTCTGTTTCAGTTTAGGGCTAATGTGTAAATCAAATGTGTATTATTTATGAACCCAGAAGATGACAGTTAAAAATTATTCTTTAGTAATTTATTAAAAATATTTGGTTGCCCTATTTCTTAGAATTGTTTATGATACTGTTTGGCTTCACTCATTGTTAAAAGAAGTAGCCGAATTTATTTTTAAGTCAATTTAAATTATTTCTGATATGACATGCAGGTATCTGTAATCCAATTCTAAATGTAAAATGTTGCAGGATTAAGTCAAATTCTACCTTGAAATCTCTAATTAAATTCTAAATGAAGACACAGACCCTTAAAGTATTAAAACAACGTGGAGTTCAACAGAAACTGAATACAAATTCCCCAATAGGAATTTGGGACCGTTAGCTGTCATTGTCTCAAGGTTCAAACTGGGACAAAATTCCTGCTACACAACTGATACTTCTAGCACTATCATTACTGTGTTTTTATTTGTTTGTTCCTTCACTCACTCAACAAATCCTAATTAAGCACCTACAAGGGCTAGATATGCTCACAGCCAATCCACGAAACAATCTTGTGGAAGAGCCAGGTCTCAACAGTGACGTGTACCCCCACACTGAAGAGTGTACATACGAGTGCAAAAGCACTAAACTGGCTCGCCCACCCCAGTTGTAATGGAAAGAGCTGGAAAGTCTCCTAGAGGAGGAGATGCCCCATGTGATCAGGAGTTAATTGAAGGGTGAGAGTCAGGGATTGCGGGGTAACAGGGGAATGATGGGGAGTGAGGGTATTTCAGATAAAGGAAACCACATGAACAAAGTCGTAAAAGCAAAAACCAATATCCCTATTGGTTCACCTATTTCAACCTAGTGCTGCAGAGGCAGTGTAACATGGACTCTGGGGCCAGATTCCCTGGACTGGAATCCTGGCTCTGCTGTTTGCTGACTCTGTGACCTTTGGTACTTCAATTAACCTTGCTTTCCTTCTGTTTCTTCATCTGTAAAGTGAAGATAATAATAATACCTACTTCATAGTATTGTTTTGAAAATCAATATTACCTTACAAAAAGCACTTAGAATTGGGCCTGGCATGTAGTAAGAATGGTAGAGATGTTAGCTTTTTTTTTTATTACAAAGCAAATGACAGAGAAGGTAAAGTACTCTGGCTGGAAGAGTGGGCAATAGCCAAATCTTTCAGATGTTTTTTCTGCTAGAATAATGAGCTGGAGCTTCATGTTATGAATCACAGGGAGTCAGGAAAGGATCTTCAGCAGGGAAATGACATAAGTTTGGTTGCTTTTGCTACATCCCTCTGGTTTTGTAGAAGATAGAGCAGAGGGTGAATGAAAGGGACACACTTAGACCAAGCAAGAGGCTGCTGCCTAAATGGAGGCCTGAATTAAGGTAATGATAGTATGGTAGACAGGAGTGTTTTTTTTTTTTGTTTGTTTGTTTTTTTTTTGAGACGGAGTTTCGCTCTTGTTACCCAGGCTGGAGTGCAATGGCGCGATCTTGGCTCACCGCAACCTCCGCCTCCCGGGTTCAGGCAATTCTCCTGCCTCAGCCTCCTGAGTAGCTGGGATTACAGGCACGCGCCACCATGCCCAGCTAATTTTTTTTGTATTTTTAGTAGAGACGGGGTTTCACCATGTTGACCAGGATGGTCTCGATCTCTTGACCTTGTGATCCACCCGCCTCAGCCTCCCAAAGTGCTGGGATTACAGGCTTGAGCCACCGCGCCCGGCCACAGGAGTGTTTAAATCAATATTTAAGAGGTTAAATGCACAGAACTTTATTGATTGGGTGTGATGGATTATAAAGAGGGAAGAATTAGACTCCAGTTACGAAAACATAAAAAATCAATTCAAAATTTTAGTAACGCAGATGAGAAAATAATACAATCACATGTGCTGACAGATGTGTATCTTTAAAGAAACAAGCTGCTTTATTTGTTACAACTCACAGACAAGATCAACATTACTATATAGCCTAGCCAAAAAAGACATGTTTATTAACATTGTCTTTTTTGTTGCTGTTCTGTTTTCTGTTTTGTTGTTGTTATTGTTGTTGTTGTTGTTGTTGTTAACATTTGCAAATCTATCTTGGTAATGCTTTGGCAGATTTTCATAAATCATAAATATTCTAGTGGTCAAAAATTCTATATGCATTCATAATTCCAAACATGTGTCTGACACCCTTCCTGATAATCTTTCTGTTGATGTAAGATGGTTGATTTGTTACAATGAATTTTTTTTTTTTTTTTTTTTGGCAGGTTCTGGCTCTGTCACCCAGGCTGGAGTGCAGTGGTGCAATGATAGGTCACTGCAAACTTCACCCCCTGGGCTCAAGCCATTGTCCCACCTCAGGCTCCTGAGTAGCTGGGATCACAAGCACACGATACCATACTTCGCTAATTTTTTAATTTTTTGTAGAGACAGGATTTCACCATGTTGCCCGGGCTGGTCTTGGACTCCTGAGCTCAAGTTATCTGCCCACCTCGGCCTCCCAAAGTGCTGGGATTACTGTTACATTGACCTTACTGCTTTGTGTCACTTCTCATTGCAGCCTCCCTCTCCCTGTTGGTTTATAATCTAACATTACAATCTTTACACTGGTTTATAATCTTAACATTTGGTTGTGTTAGCTTGCCTGCTGCACTCCAAAAGTATTTTCAGACAGTGATCTCCCATTTGGCTTGTATCAGATAACTTTACACTGTATTTCTATGAACAAATGTGCACATAGATGCTTTTTTTAATGCATGTTTTGAGTCCCATAACATAGTCGCTTTTAAAAATCCATGTCTTTTTTTCCTGTAAGTTATCTAAAATGGTTTTGCTTATTTGAAGAAGAAAATCTCATGGATCTATTTCAATTTCAATGAATTCTACAGTTCCATGATCAAACAGAAAGGGAATGCCTGCTTCAGCAGTGACCTCCAGAACTTGGCTACAGCACTATGGCCATTCTAATTGGTCAGTGCTGGTGCCATTTTGGTTGGTAAATGTTTTTAGTAGCCCTGTTGCCTATACACATGGTTCAGGATCTTCTCCACAGAATTTTGCTTTAGCAAGCTAAGGTTTATCTTAAATGGCTGTTTCAATATTAGATTTTTACAGTGATAATTTTTTTAAAAATCTTCAGACTTTTTCACCCTTAAATAAGCTGTGGTTATTACTAAAACATTGACCCTATTTGACAGTGGAGTAAGGTGAGTAAAATCTACTTTTGAGAGAAATATATAAAATTTCATCTAGTAAATTTTTTCAGAGAATTAGATGGTTCTGCAATACAGAAGCATTTTACTTATGTTACTCCACCAAAATCCTGGGCGAAATAAGCACTCAGATGTTCTGGTAAAACTCTCAAGCTCATCTTCCTACTCACTTTTTTGCACTTTATAATCAATTTATTATCTAGGAATTCAGGCTGTATAACTAGCTATTCACAGTACAGATTCCCTGGTGGCTATATACACCATTTAAGAAAAGCTTAAAATATTGACTTATTGGCCAGACATGTTATCTCACACCTGTAATCCTAGCACTTTAGGAGGCCAAGGCAGGAGGATCATTCAAGCCAGGTGTTCGAGACCAGCCTGGGCAACATAGTGAGACCCTGTTTCAATGGACTTATTAAGACATATATAAGTACATCGATTTTAGTATCTGATACTGTGTAGTTTCTGTAAATAGTGGCACTTTGTTACCCTCTACTGGAATTGGTAAAAAAATAAATAAATAAATAATTCTAATAGCATGTCAGTGTTTCCTTCTCAAGTAGATCTCTTTCCTGCTGACTTGCAACTATATATCTGTTCTAAAAATAAGAAATTTCTTACAGTTTTCCGCTGAGAAAATCCGAAATGTGGCCAGGTACCATGGCTCACACCTGTAATCTCACCACTCTGGGAAGCTAAGGCATTAGGATCACTTGAGCCCAGAAGTTTGAGACCAGCCCTGGCAACATAGGGAGACCCCCATGTCTACAAAAGAATTTTAAAATTAGCTGGGCATGATGGTATGCAACTGTAGTCTCAGATTTTTGGGAGCTGAAGCAGGAGAATAACTTGAGCCACGGAGGTTGAGGCTTCAGTGAGCTGTGACTGCAAAAACTCTGTCTCCAAAAAAAAAAAAAGAAAGAAAGAAAAGAAAAAGAAAATCTGTAATGTTACTCTTTGTACTAGTTAATATGGTATTTTAATGTTTCCTTTTTTCCTTCAGGTATTCTTGGCGTTACCAGCTGAGAGAATTTAAAAGTGAATATCGAGTTGTAGCACTGGATTTGAGAGGTTATGGAGAAACAGATGCTCCCATTCATCGAGAGAATTATAAATTGGACTGTCTAATTACAGACATAAAGGATATTTTAGATTCTTTAGGTAGGTTAGCTTAAAACAAAACAACTCTTTTTAAGGGACAAACAGTCAACAAATTGTGAATTGATTACTTCTTTTCTTGGGAGCATGCGTATTCCATCTACCCCAACTTATCTGTATCCTGTCACCACGGTTTCAGGTAGTCAGCCCAAAATATCTATAAAGGAAATTTAAAATGACGTATCCAGGGCAACTATTCCACCTACCAGCCAAGAATGACTTTTCAGATTTGTTTTTGAAAATAGACCTAATGAACTGGGTGCTGTGGCTCACACCTATAATCCCAGCACTTTGGGAGGCTGAGGCAGACGGATCGCCTGAGGTCAGAAGTTGAAGATCAGCCTGGCCAACATGGTGAAATCCTGTCTCTCCTAAAAGTACAAAAATTAGCCAGGCGTGGTGGCAGACACCTGTAATCCCAGCTACTCAGGAGGCTGAGGCAGGAGAATTGCTTGAACCCAGGAAGCAGAGGTTGCAGTGAGCCAATACCGTGCCATTTGCACTCCATCCTGGGCAACAAGAGCAAGACTCTGCCTCCAAAAAAAAAAAAAAGAAAAAAGACCTAATGTATGTTGTTTATTATTTTCAGAAATGATTATTGAAAATTTGTATTCTTTTTTTTTTTTTTTTTTTTTTTTGAGACAGAGTTTTGCTCTTGTTACCCAGGCTGGAGTGCAATGGCGCGATCTCAGCTCACCGCAACTTCCGCCTCCTGGGTTCAAGCAATTCTTCTGCCTCAGCCTCCTGAGTAGCTGGGATTACAGGTACGCGCCACCATGCCCAGCTAATTTTTTGTATTTTTAGTAGAGACGGGGTTTCACCATGTTGACCAGGATGGTCTCGATCTCTTGACCTCGTGATCCACCTGCCTCGGCCTCCCAAAGTGCTGGGATTACAGGCTTGAGCCACCATGCCTGGCCCTAAAATTTTATTCTTGACTTAGAAAATTTATTTCTTTAGAACACATAACTAAATATTCATTTAAAAATGTTATAAGATACAGAAACACTTGCATTATTTCTGTTGTATCAATCAGTTAGAACCACATAATACTGTGTAACAGACAACCTCAGATTCGGTGGCAGAGGGTCATAACCATTTTTTCCTATGCTCATGGATCTGCAGATTAACCTTAGCGGGGACTCCTCTGGTCTTTACCTCAGGCTGCAGGTCCAGCTGGGACTGGCTCCTCTCTGTGAGTTGGGCTGGAGCCCAAGATAAAGGGGAGTGGCTGCCTGAGGGAAGCTTTTCTGGCCTTGGTAGAGGGTGAGCCTAGCTGCACAAGCTTAAGTTTCTACCAGCAGCCCTTGGTCAAAGCAAGTCATATGGTGGAGCCCAAATTCATGTCATACAGCCACCATGAGACCAAAGCAAATCACATGGCCAAGTCTAAAATCAAAGGGGCAGCAAGTAGACTCCTTCTATGACTGTAGGAAGAAGGAGAGGGTAAATATTTTTTAACAATAATCCAATCTATTAATACAATATCCCTTTTGACTGAAACCAAGCTGCTATCATCGGTATGTTAATGGAACCAATATGGTGAGAAACACCATGAAATCAAAGGCACTTTCTACAGTAGTCTAATGAGAGCATAGATCAGACCAAAATTTTTAGAGGAGAAAAAAATGGATGAGGTCTAGGGGTATCACATGAAATATTGTCATTTAGTCTGATTATAGTAAAAGAGACTCAGACACTGATTTTGAACAATTATATTTCAGATTTTGTGATAATTCAGTCAGACCTGGCCTAAATTTGTCATCATGAAATTTTTAGGCAAATAATTAATATCAACAAGATGTATGTGTGTGTGTGTGTGTATGTCTATGTGTGTGTATCAGTATAGTGGTGAGGAGTGATGGTAAAAGGTACTTCCTGGAAAGAATTAAGCAATTTTAAGTACTCCAGGAATAAATTTCAAATGAATTTTATCCATCCATACAATGGAAATCCTGTAGGAATCTCTATTAATCAACATTTTAACCTACTTTAGATTACTGAGTGATTACATGAAATGAAACTGGTGCAAAACTGACTTTTCATTACTTCAATTTGACATCACAGTTCCAAATTAGTGGCAAATTTTCTGTGTTTAGTTGTACATAGGATTTATGAAGTTAGGAAAGAAATAGATGCTTCCTGGAAATAAATATTTATGAGTTGGACATAGATGAGACATTTATAATTTTACTATCACTAGAAATTTCTGAGCATTCAAAAAATAACCCAGGCTGGGCGCAATGGCTCACTCCTGTAGTCCTAACATTTTAGGAGGCCAAGGTGGGTTGATCACCTGAAGTCAGGAGTTCAAGACCAACCTGACCATCATGGTGAAACCCCATCTTAAAAAAAAAAAAAAAGGCCGGGCGCGGTGGCTCAAGCTTGTAATCCCAGCACTTTGGGAGGCCGAGGTGGGTGGATCACGAGATCGAGAGATCGAGACCATCCTGGTCAACATGGTGAAACCCCATCTCTACTAAAAATACAAAAAATTAGCTGGGCATGGTGGCACGTGCCTGTAATCCCGGCTACTCAGGAGGCTGAGGTAGGAGAATTGCCTGAACCCAGGAGGCGGAGGTTGCGGTGAGCCGAGATCGCGCCATTGCACTCCAGCCTGGGTAACAAGAGTGAAACTCCGTCTCAAAAAAACAAAACAAAACAAAACAAAACATGAAATAACCTTGCTTATGACTTTATTATGTCCAGTCTTTACCATGGTTTCCAAACTCAGGTCCATGGGACAAGAGCTATTTCCGATTTTTTTTGTTTGTTTTGTACCCCTCAGGGTCTCAATCTTGCTCTGTCACCCAGGCTGGAGTGCAGTGCCATGATCATGGCTCACTGCAGCCTTGAACTACTGGACTCAAGGGATCCTCCCACCTCAGGCTCTAGAGTTGCTGGTACTACAGATGGGCACCACCACACCTGGCTAATTTATTTTTTTTGTTGAGATGGTGGCAGGGGGGTCTGACTGTGTTGCCCAGGATGGTCTCGAACTTAAGCAATCCTTCTGCTTTGGCCTCTCAAGTGTTGAGATTATAGGTGTAAGCCACCACACACTGACCTATTTCAGATTTTATATATATATTATATATATGTGTGTGTGTGTGTATAAATATATATATGTGTGTGTGTATATAAATACCTATGTGTGTGTGTGTGTGTGTGTGTGTGTGTGTGTATGGATTCCTGGAAGAGATTCTCAACCTATAGGTTTAGAGTGGAGCTATCTAAGTGATGTACAGACACGTTTTGGAACCCCTGAATTATGTATAAATTGCATAATTAGGATAAGATAATGAAAAGAGGTGTTTCAGAAGTATAACTATTTTATGTGAGGTAACAGTGCACTCACCTGTTTCTTTTTAATGATGTCAACATGTATTTCTTGATTACAGGGTATAGCAAATGTGTTCTTATTGGCCATGACTGGGGAGGCATGATTGCTTGGCTAATTGCCATCTGTTATCCTGAAATGGTGATGAAGCTTATTGTTATTAACTTCCCTCATCCAAATGTATTTACAGGTGAGTTTAAGTTTTCATCAAAACAGTACTGCTAATATGACAGTTCACTCTTGCCACTGACATTTTGGATTATGAACAGCAAAATTTGGTTACTATAATATTTTAAAATTAAGTGATTAAACCATGATAGCACATGACAGTGTATAACAGATACCTTGGTTTTAAACCTTCCTGAGGAATCTAAGAAAATTTAGCTTTGTGCTTGCTCACATAATTTTATTCCTTCAAAAAAATATTTTACTGTTAACTTGGGGAGGGATAAAGGGAAAAATGCAATGATGTTGCTTTAACAATAATGAATCTTGACAGCCTATAAATATATTTTTTTCTTGATTGACTGCTTTGGCTGTCAGGAATAGCAGTATTCTTTAAAGCAGCAGTTCTGACATTTTTGGTCTTAGGGTTCTTTATGATCTTAAAATTATTAAAGATCCCACTGAGCTTTTAATTATATGGTTTATAAGTATTCATGTATTAGAAGTCAAAACAGAAATGTAAAAATATATATGCTGGCCGGGCGCGGTGGCTTATGCCTATAATCCCAACACTTTAGGAGGCCGAGGTGGGTGGATCAAGATGTCGAGAGATCGAGACCAACCTGGTCAACATGGTGAAACCCCGTCTCTACTAAAAATACAAAAATTAGCTGGGCATGATGGCACAGTCTGTAGTCCCAACTACTCAGGAGGCTGAGGCAGGAGAATTGCTTGAACCCAGGAGGCGGAGGTTGCGGTGAGCCGAGATCGAGCCATTGCACTCTAGCCTGGGTAACAAGAGTGAAACTCCTTCTCAAAAAAAAAAAAAAAAAAAAAGTATGCTAATTCATCAAAAGAAAAGATTACATGATAACTTAAATAACTTTTTTTTATTGCATTTTAGGTTTTGGGGTAATAACGTATTTTAATTAAAACTAACTACATCTTCCAAAACAAAATTTTAGTGAAAAGAGTGTCATTATTTTACATTTTTGCAAATCTCTTCAATCTGTTCCAATATGTTGTTTGAATTGAAGTATATGAAGAAATCTGGACTCATACAGATTTGTAATTGGAAAAGGGAGGAGTATTTTAATAGCCTTTTTGGATAACTGTGGATTTTCTTTAATACTACATCAAACTTAAAAATTAATGTTTTGTTTTGCTGTTTTTGAGACAGAGTCTTGCTCTATTGCCCTGGCTGGAGTGCCATGGCACCATCTTGGCTCACTGCAACCTCCGCCTCCCTAGTTCCAGAGATTCTCCTGCCTCAGCTGCCTAATTAGCTGGGATTATAGGCATACACCACCTCGCCTGGCTAAGTTTTGTATTTTTAGTAGAGATGGGGTTTGAGCATGCTGGCCATGTTGGTCTCGAAAGCCTGACCTCATGATCCACCTGCCTCAGACTCCCGAAGTGCTGGGATTATAGGCATGAACCATCACACGCAGCCAATGGTTTCTTATAGGTAACAATGTGGAATGTGATGACATGTAAATGATTTTTTATACTGTGCTCTATTAAAACACACAGGTCTCCCTAGCACTTTTATTGGATCTTTTATCCAGCCTGGTTTTGTATCATCATGCATTGGAATATGTTGGTTCACTGATTTATGCAGATCTTCCATAAGTTGACACATTTATCATACAGTATTTAAAAAATCACATTCTTTGACATTATCCTAATATCATCAGAAAAGCCTTTAAAGTATTGCAAAGTGGTGAAGCTCACAATAGCAGATACAAGTTTTCCAAAGTTCTAAGGTTCATTTGAAAGTCTGATTTTTATCAATGGCAACAAATACTGATGATTGTTTTCCTTGATTTGACAGGCTCACTTTGCTAATTTTCAAGAGATTATCAGCCAAATACTAATGTTTGACTGATGATAGGTTGTTAATCATTCTTTCAAAGTAAAAACAATGTTACATTTAAAAATGCAGCTAAGGCCCAAGCTTGTAATCCCAGCACTTTGGGAGGCCGAGGCGGGTGGATCACGAGGTCGAGAGATCGAGACCATCCTGGTCAACATGGTGAAACCCCGTCTCTACTCAAAATACAAAAAACTAGCTGGGCGTGGTGGCACATGCCTGTAATTCCAGCTACTCAGGAGGCTGAGGCAGGAGAATTGCCTGAACCCAGGAGGCGGAGGTTGCGGTCAGCCGAGATCGCGCCATTGCATTCCAGCCTGGGTAACAAGAGCGAAACTCTGTCACCAAAAAAAAAAAAAATGCAGCTAAAAATTAGCCAGGTGTGGTTGTGTGTGCCTGTAGTCCCAACTACCTGGGGGAGCAGAGGCAGGAAGGTCACTTGAGCTCAGGAGGTCAGGCCGCAGTGAGCTGAGATTGTGCCACTGTACTCCAGCCTTGGTGACAAAGTGAGACCCTGTCTCAAAAAAAAAAAGAAAAAAAAAGGAGCTAATTCAACCCATCAACTCAAACAATTGTAGAAGTGCTTTTCCCTGAGACAATCATTGTATTTGTGTTGTCTTGAGACAACAGAACTGCTTTTTGTGTACTTTCTATTTAATCACTTAGAATATTAAAAGCATGTACTCAAAGGTCAAGTTTAATTAATATTTTCTGCTATTTCATCAAGGATGCTGTTAAGTGAAACTAGCACTTAATTAAATTTAATTAATTAGTTAGTTTGCCACCAGTGTGTGCTGGTGAAGAATAGGATGACTACTAGTATTGTTCAGTGCTACTGCCTTGATTTGTGCTAAAGTAGCAGTGGCTTCATTGCTTTTGTAGTATTGGTGCAAATATCAACATGGTGAGAAAAAAGCAAATAAATATATTAATATTGCTCTGAAATAGTTTTAACCACCTGGATACCTTAAAAGGGTCATGGGAATGCCCAGGGATTCACATGGATGATACTTTGAGAACCTGTATTTTCAAGGGAATTCTCAAAAACTTAATAGTGATTAAAGACCTGTGATAGCTGGGCATGGTGGCACGTGCCTGTAATCCCAGCTACTTAGGAGGCTGAGGCAGGAGAATTGCCTGAGACCAGGAGGCGGAGGTTGCGGTGAGCCGAGATCTCGCCATTGCACTCCAGCCTGGGTAACAAGAGCGAAACTCCGTCTCAAAAAAAAAAAAAAAAAAAAAAAAGACCTGTGAAAAATGGCCAGGCACATTTTTATTTGGTTTTGGCAAAAAATTATAATTTTGTACTCTTTAGAAGTTTTCTGAGGTTCAGGTACTACTACTATACAGCAGGACTCTAGGAAATAAAAATTCAGAAGCACATATTTCTATTTTTTTTCTCAAAATTAAGCAGATAAGGAAGAAAGGGACCATGACTACGTAAATATATAAGTAAATATAAATGTAAGAGATGTATTTTAGATACATATCCAACTGAAGTATCACTGTTGAGGTATAGTAGGATGGATGCTTAGGATTCAAATGTCCTGAGAGTCATTGTATTTTTCTAGGTTGAATTAAACAGCAGAAGTCATTCTACGTGCATGTTCAATTGATCAGGACCCTGAAGTAAATGTTATTTTAGTGGTGGTGCTATGTGGACAAATTGCAATTGGTGATTTCAACAAGAAAATACTTGAAATATTTCTGGAATTATTTTATCAATAATAGTTTCCACCCTATCAGGTCAATATGAGGTTTTCAAATAACTTGCCTATATTTTTCCCTTAATTGTATTGATATCTTTTAATGCAGGGGTGAATAAATCTTGTTCAATTATGACTTTGTAAAACTTTAGTATAACAATGGTAAACTTATCTGAAAATTATGTTTCTAAAAACTCTATGTTGAATATAGTGATGAAATTAGAAATAAGAAAAAATGACTTTTATAGTAAAGGAAATAAAATTGCATAGTATGCAAGCATACATGCCTTTTTTCCCATTTTTTAGAGACAGGATCTCACATTGTCCTCCCTCCTTGATTCCAATGGCCTAATCATAGTCACTGCAGCCTTGACATCAAGGCTGGGCTCAAGTGATCCTTTCACCTCAGCCTCCCAAGTAGCTGGGATTATAGGCTTATACTACCACACCCAGCTAATTTTTTATATTTTTTGTAGAGATAGGTTCTTGCTATGTTGCCCAGGCTGGTCTTAAACCCTTGGCTTCAAGCAATCTTCCTGCCTTAGCCTCTCAAAGCACTGGGATTACAGGCATGAGACACCATGCCTGCCTGTACACACTGTTTTTTTTTTTTTTTTTTTTTGAGACGGAGTTTCGCTCTTGTTACCCAGGCTGGAGTGCAATGGCGCGATCTCGGCTCACCGCAACCTCCGCCTCCTGGGCTCAGGCAATTCTCCTGCCTCAGCCTCCTGAGTAGCTGGGATTACAGGCATGCGCCACCATGCCCAGCTAATTTTTTGTATTTTTAGTAGAGACGGGGTTTCACCATGTTGACCGGGATGGTCTCGATCTCTTGACCTTGTGATCCACCCGCCTCGGCCTCCCAAAGTGCTGGGATTACAGGCTTGAGCCACCGCACCTGGCCTTTACACACTTTTTTATAATATATGATTATATTACTCCCCACTTTAAAACTTTAGTGTCTCCCCAAAGCACTTAAAATCTTACTATTCTGGTCCTACATGATCAGGCTTCTGCTTTTCTCTCTGACTCATCATATACCGTCTTCTTTTTATTCATCATACGCCAGCCACACAGGCCTTTCGGCATCTGGAATGTACCAAGCCCAGGATCTGCTTGCTGTTCCTGGATGTTCTCCCTAGATCTTTGCACAGCTGACTCCCTCTTACTATTCAGTACTCAGCAAACATATCACATCCCCAGAGAGGCCTTCTCGACCACTTCTACTACACAGTAGTCCCTTCACCCCGCCCTACCACCACTGTCAATCAGATTGTCTTCTTTTATTTTCTTTACAGTATTATTGCTCTCTAAAGTGATCTCGTATTTGTTACCTATTTATTGTGTAAGCGCATTGTTTATGGGAAACTTTCTGTCTTGTCCACTGCCAAATCCCCTGGCACATAGTAGATAGTCAAATATTCATTGAATGAATGGGTTTTTCTAGATACATGAATTAACTTACAGGAAAAACTTCAGTTCCTTTTGAGGCCAAATGAACAAGGTGTTTAATTTGAATCAACCTGTAAGGAATATCTTATAAACATCAGAATATTACATCACCACATATTCCTAGGAAAAGTGGTAGGTCACTGACAATGACCTTGGAGGAAAAGCAGTGTTGTTTGGGCTTCCTGTTCCCTTTTGAGTCAAAATTTCATTAAGTGAAACTTCCTTTTTATTTAAAGTGGTATAAGGCTAGGTGTGGTGGCTCAAGCCTGTAATCCCAGCACTTTGAGAGGCCGAGGCGGGCAAATCACCTGAGGTCAGGAGTTTGAAACCAGCCTGGCCAACATGGTGAAACCCCATTTCTACTAAAAATATAAAAAATTAGCCAGGTGCGGTGGTGGGCGCCTATAATCCTAGCTACTCAGGAGGCTGAGGCAGGAGAATCTCTTGAACCTGGGAGGTGGAGGTTGCAGTGAGCCAAGATTGCACCACTGCACTCCAGCCTGGTTGACAGAGCAAGACTCTGTCTCAAAAATAATAATAATAAAATAAAGTGGTATAAATTTTGTAAATACCAGAAATACTCATAATAAGATATAAGAGCATAGAAATTGTTCCAAAGAAGCCTTGCTTATGGATTATTTTATGGGATCATCTTAAAGTGAAATTGTCCTAAAAAGAAGTTCTTCTAACAGTAAGTAATTTATACTCTTGGATAAGGTCTAACATGGCATTTTAATTTCAGAATATATTTTACGACACCCTGCTCAGCTGTTCAAATCCAGTCATTACTACTTCTTCCAAATACCATGGTTCCCAGAATTTATGTTCTCAATAAATGATTTCAAGGTAAGCCATGCAAATCAAACAAATAATGTATTATTATTATTATTATTATTAATGAAAAATATTTCAAAGTCTACCTTGAAGAAGAATAATAAGAAATGAAAGGAAATTATTAAAACTTAACAAATGGTTTTAAGAACTTACATGTAGGCTTGCTTATTTTTATAGCCTCTGTTTCTGTATATAAATACCTGGCTGTTTTTTTTTTTTTTTTTTTTGAGACGGAGTTTTTGCTCTTGTTACCCAGGCTGGAGTGCAATGGCGCGATCTCGGCTCACCGCAACCTCTGCCTCCTGGGTTCAGGCAATTCTCCTGCCTCAGCCTCCCGAGTAGCTGGGATTACAGGCACGTGCCACCATGCCCAGCTAATTTTTTGCACTTTTAGTAGAGACGGGGTTTCACCATGTTGACCAGGATGGTCTCGATCTCTCGACCTCGTGATCCACCCGCCTCGGCCTCCCAAAGTGCTGGGATTACAGGCTTGAGCCACCGCGCCCGGCCAATAGCTGGCTGTTTTTAATTTTTTGTGAGACAGTGCCCCTACAGGCATATCCCTTTTTAGAGAATATCTCATGGGGATCGGAGGGAAGACAAATGTCAGGTTTAACAGCAGCAGAAGTAGAAGACTTCGGGGTGAAAAAAAAAAGCTCTTCACAAACTAAACACGTAGATGTTAGTGTCACATGTACACTGACACTAGTAGTCATATGCAAGTATCTTGGACATTTATTTAAAGCTTTTTTAATTTTAGTTTTTGTTTTGCTTTGTTTTTGAGACAGGAACTGGCTTTGTCACCCAGGCTGGAGTGCAGTGGCACAATTACAGCTTACTGCAGCCTCGGCCTCCCAGGCTCAAGCAATCCTCCCACCTCAGCCTCCCAAGTAGCTGCTACTACAGGTGTACACCACCATGCCTGGCTAATTTTTGTATTTTTTGTAGAGACTGGGTTGTACCACGTTGCCCAGGCTGGTCTGAAACTCCTGGCCTCAAGTGATGCACCCACCTCATCTTCCCAAAGTGCTGGATTATAGGCATGAGCCACCAATCCTGGCCAAAATGCGTCTTATGTGTCCAACATGGTGTTAGATATTGGTGAGGATTTTTAAAAGGCATAATCTAAAGGCCAGGCGCGGTGGCTCAAGCCTGTAATCCCAGCACTTTGGGAGGCCGAGGCAGGTGGATCACGAGGTCAAGAGATCGAGACCATCCTGGTCAACATGGTGAAACCCCATCTCTACTAAAAATACAAAAATTAGCTGAGCATGGTGGTGCATGCCTGTAATCCCAGCTACTCAGGAGGCTGAGGCAGGAGAATTGCCTGAGCCCAGGAGGCGGAGGTTGCGGTGAGCCGAGATCACGCCATTGCACTCCAGCCTGGGTAACAAGAGCGAAACTCCTGTCTCGGGAAAAAAAAAAAAAAAAAAAAAAAGGCATAATCTAATTTTACCTGTAATAATTCTGGGTGTAACTGTGATGGGATAAGAATTTTAAAACAAAAAACAAAAAAACCTAACCCAATGCCACTATCAAATGTAACATCATAAATGGCAACTCCTCAATATCATTTAATACCCATTCAAATTTCATTAACTATCATAACTGTCTTGATATACTACTTTATTTGTTTGAATCAGGAACCAAAATCTATATCTTATATTTAGCTTTACGACTTTATAAATGCACAGTAGTGCCTTCTTTGTTTTCTTTTCTTATTTTTTAAAAAATATCACTTATTTATTGAAGAAATTTACCTTGAGGAAAGAGCTACATTTTGGATTTGACTGATTGCTTCATCATGGTAATATTTGACTTGTTCCTCTAACCCTTGTTTTCCTACTTCATAGGCACTGATGATCTAGAGCCTTGATTAAATTTTAATTTGAAAAGAATACTTAGTAGGTGGTGCTGTGTATTTCTTAACGCATCCCGTCAGGGAAGCACATGAAACCAGTGAGCTCATAAGTTGTCAGCCTATCCAAAATTTTCTAATATCCTGCCAAATTAATTTTATCAATGTATTAGTGATCATAGTCTAGGCCCATTATTCATTAGGGTATGAAAAATGGTGATTTTCTAATTTTATAATTCTTTCTGCTTTTTAGATTCTGCTATAAAGAAGAATTTATCCACATTTACAATTTATTCTGAAATATAGTTCACACAAGAATGGAGGGATATATGCTCATTCTTTTTCTTTTACAAACAACGTTTAGAGTAATGAGTATATATTTGCTATTAGTTATAGTCATTATTCTTTTGGATGCCCAAATTGTCCCACAGTAGGCATTAAATGAGGCATCCCTTCAGGTTGGCTCTTGTGGTTTTTGGACATAATCCCTTTAGTCAGTGATAGCTTGCCTCCTCAATGGCCTGGGCTTATCTTTTATTTGCTGCCCAGGTGGGAAATTAGTCATTTATTCAAGAAACTGTTGAGCTGGGCCTTGTAGAATATAAATAGGCAGCAAGAAGATAGGATGCTTTTTATAAAAATGGAAGTATGCAGAGGGGATTAGAAGGGAAGAATATAGAGGAAAAAAAAAAAGCCAGGAAAGGAGAAATGCATAGAATATGTGTGTATAAACAACGAGATCTCAAACGTGGCTAGAGTAGAAATTAGGAGTTGTCACTGCACAATGACCACCATCTCCTTTCCAAAGCCAAAGATTTAAGCAAAAAGTTTTAATTATTCTCTTCTCACTTAAATTAGGTTTTGAAACATTTGTTTACCAGTCACAGCACTGGCATTGGAAGAAAAGGATGCCAATTAACAACAGAGGATCTTGAAGCTTATATTTATGTCTTTTCTCAGCCTGGAGCATTAAGTGGTCCAATTAACTATTACCGAAATATCTTCAGGTCAGTATAATTTCTTTTAGTTAAATAAAAATATTTAAGTCTGATTCTAAAGGGACACTATTTTATTTGTAAGATTAAGTTCACCACTTTTCCAAAGACTCAAAGTATTTTAATTTTTTAGTAAGTTGCATAATATTTTTATGGGCAATTTCTTTTTTTTAATTTTTAATATTTTTTTTTGAGATCGAGTCTCACTATTGCTGCCCAGGCTAGAGTGCAGTGGCGCAATCTCAGCTCACCACAACCTGCGCCTCCTGGGTTCAAGCGATTCTCCTGACTCAGCCTCCTGCATAGCTGGGATTACAGGCATGCGTTTATGGACAATTTCAAATGTATGGAAAAGTAGACAAAATAATATAACAAATCCTCCATGTAGCTGTCACTTGTTTTATCCACAACTCTATCCACTTATTCTCTCCTTTTAGATTATTTTGAATAGATGTATATTTTTAGTTATTTTTTAATGATGACATATTTATTAAGCAGTATATTCTGGGCTGCATTAGTACTCAGAACATAGTAATGAGCAAAACTAGATAAGGTCTCTGGTCTCACAAAACTTGTGGCCTAGTAAGAAAAACAGACATTAAGCAAATAATCACAGTAATGAGTGAATCGTTATAAACTAACAGAAAGGCTTTGAAAGAAAGAGATGAGAACTGAGGAAATGATGTTAAACAATGAAGTGAAGGATGAGTTAGGTATTGACTAGACAAGACTGGAAATCAGAAGGACTGGCATTCTAGAAAAAGGAAACAACAGGTACCAAAGCCCTATGGGAAGCTGGAAGAGGACTGTAGCTTCAAGCAAGAGAATTAGGACTTCTTAGCTGGAACACAGAAAGTAAGGGTGAGAAGAGCATTATGAGGCTGGGTCCAAGAGGTGGGTAGCAGCTGGCCATGCATAGCCAAGTAGACCATATGAAGGATGTAAGAGCCACGAATGTGAAGCCAGTGAATGAGAATCTCAAGCAGAAAAGAAAAACAACCTACATGTTGTATCTGAGTAAGTTCAGTCTGGCCATAGTGCAGAGAATGTATTGGGAGAATTTTCAGAGTAAATGTGAAATGTGGGGAAACTGTAGCACTCCAGGCTAGAGATGATGGTAACTTGAACAACTAGTCCGAAAACAGTGGAGATGGAGAGAGTGGGCAGATTTAAACGATACTTAAGAGGTAAAATTGACAGGGTTTGGGAGTGGGTTGGAGGAGGAACAAGGAGAGGGATGTCAAATATGGTTCCTGGATTTCTGGCATGCACAGCAGTATGGATAACCATGCCATTTACTGAGACAGGAAATACTAGAACGGGACTAGTTTTGATGGGAAAGTCATGAAATGTATTGATCTTAGGTTAGTTGACTTTTGAGTGATACCTTAGATATTCAAATATGCAGTTGGATAGTAGGGTCTGGAACTCAGAGGAGATAATCTGGGATGAAGATATGTAACATCTGGGAGTCACTGATGTAGACACAAGCTTTGGTTTTAGAAGATATCGTCTGGGGAGAAAATATAGAGTGATGGCCGGGTGTGGTAGCTCATACCTGTAATCCCAGCACTTTGGGAGGCCAAGGTGGGCAGATCACCTGAGGTCAGGAGATCGAGACCAGCTTGGACAACATGGAGAAACTCCATCTCTACTAAAAATACAAAATTAGTAGGGTGTGATGGCGCATGCCTGTAGTCCCAGCTACTCGGGAGGCTGAGACAGGAGAATCGACTGAACCTGGGTGGTGGAGGTTGCACTGAGCCAAGATGGCGCCATTGCACTCCAGCCTGGACAACAAGAGTGAAACTCCATTTCAAAAAAAAAAAAAAAAAGAAAGAAAGTGTAGAGTGAAAGATGAGACATGGTCTACACTTAGGGAAAAAAATGAGATTTCATTTCTCATAAGAATTAGGAGCCACAGCTGGCCTTGAATTTGAGGTTTAGGGATTTGAATTTCTGCTACCTCCATGATTCTGGAATTCTCAGGATAAAAATTATATGTTAACATGCCTCCGGCTATTAACATTCCCTAGGAAGCCTGGTGGAAACAAAGACAAAACTTCTCTAGGATACATCTCAATTCAGGGCTCACAATATTCCCACAAATGATGTCCCTTAAAGATGAGTTCAGAATCCAAAGTAAACCCACGTGTGGAGGCTCATGCCTGTAATCCCAGCACTTTGGGAAGCTGAGGTGGGTGGATCACCTGAAGTCAGGAGTTTAAGACCAGCCTGGCCAACATGGCAAAACCCTGTCTCTACTAAAAATACAAAAATTAGCAGGGTGTGGTGGTGTATGCCTGTTATCCTAGCTACTCGGGAGGCTGAAGTAGGAGAATCACTTGAACTCAGGAGGCAGAGGTTGCAGTGAGCCAAGATTGTGCCTCTGTATTCCAACCTGGGTAACAGAACAAGACTTGATCTCAAAAAAAAAAAAAAAAAAAAAAAATTAAATTACATTTTAAAACCAACCAAAAAACAGACAAAAAATCAACCTACTATTAATGGCAGTCAGAATAAAATTGCAGCCAAACTCCTATGACTTTCAAATAATAGAACTAACAGGGACTATAAAGTATGTTTAAGTCATTAAACATAAGAACGAATAAAAAAATATGAGAAAATAATAAGGTACTATCAAGGGCAGGCTGGAAAGAGCTAAAAAAGAACTAGAAAATGAAAAATATGGTCACGGAAATCTGAAAGTCTATAGATGAGTTAAATTGCAGATCAGACAAGCCAAAGAGAATTATGAATTGAAAGATAAATCCCCCCAAATTATGCAGAATATAGCTTAGAGAGATAATGAAGTAAAAATCTAAAAAGCAAGTTACAATTGATACACAGGATAGAATTAGACATTCTATATGTGTATATATGCTAATAATTTTTTGGTGATAAAATAATGGAAATAGAATAGTATCATTTTCAAACCAGTAGAGGAGAAAAAGAAAATGATCAATTTAAAACTGTCAATTAAAAAAATTTTAAATTATTAATTAAAAAGGCAGAAAGGGAGAAAAAGAAGCAAAGCAAGGTAAAATAGAAAGCACAAACTAAGATGACAAAACAATTTCAATATGTCAGTATGCACAACAAACATTTATATATTAATATTGTCAGTTATAAAACAGAATGTCAGATTGGATTTTTTAAAAAGTCCATCTATATGGTGTTTACACAGTTACAATTAAAGCATAAGGACACAAAATGGTTGAAACTAAGAGATGGAAAGTTACAGCAGGTACCGGTTTAAATAAAATCTTTCAAACTCTGAAATTCAAAGGGAGTCATGAGCTTATATGAATAAGGGAAGAAGAAGTAAATCCAAACCTTTTTGACTAACAAGAACAAACTTACCAATATATATATCTATCTTTGGCAAAACAGAGATGTTAATATAAACAGTCTTTGAAGGTAACAGTTTATCAAGCAAGGCAATGATTAGAAAGGCAGATAGATCACAGAGGCTACAGGTTGTATTTTATAGGATATAGCACCAATGTCTGAAGTTTATGTTTTCTTATTTGTTGTTGTTTTTTGTTTGTTTGTTTTTTGTTTTTACAAATAACACTTGTAAAGAGAAAATACAATGGCACATTTCAAACAAATCTTAATTTTTTTTTACATTCAAGAAAAAAGATTTAAAATCTTAATTTTAGATAAAGGACAAGAATGACAGTTTTCAGCTGGGCACGGTGGCTCAAGCCTGTAATCCCAGCACTTTGGGAGGCCGAGGCGGGTGGATCACAAGGTCGAGAGATCGAGACCATCATGGTCAACATGGTGAAACCCCGTCTCTACTATAAAGATACAAAAAATTAGCTGGGCATGGTGGCACGTGCCTGTAATCCCAGCTACTCAGGAGGCTGAGGCAGGAGAATTGCTTGAACCCAGGAGGCGGAGGTTGCGGTGAGCCGAGATTGCACCATTGCACTCCAGCCTGGGTAACAAGAGCGAAACTCCGTCTCAAAAAAAAAAAAAAAATCCCAGCACTTTGGGAGGCTGAGGTGGGTGGATCACAAGGTCAAGAGATCGAGACCATCCTGGTCAACATGGTGAAACCCCGTCTCTACTAAAAATACAAAAAATTAGCTGGGCATAGTGGTGCGTGCCTGTAATCCCAGCTACTCAGGAGGCTGAGGCAGGAGAATTGCCTGAACCCAGGAGGCGGAGGTTGCGGTGAGCCGAGATCGCGCCATTGCACTCCAGCCTGGGTAACAAGAGCGAAACTCCGTCTCAAAAAAAAAAAAAAACTTTCCTAAGGAGGCTTTTTAGACATTTTTCCCCCAATCACCCCCACCCTGTGAAATTTTAGTATCTGTTTATGTACTGTACGTATATCCATGCTTTATGTATGCAAAGGTTAAGATTTTTTTCAACCTCCTAAGAATTCAATTTTCACCCTTTTAGAGGTAAGATTGCCCCCTTTGAGAATGCATGGCCTAATAGGGCATTATGGGAAAATGTCATTTTAACTTTTACAGTGAATCTCAAACCCACATACTTTGTTTTTATAGCTGCCTGCCTCTCAAGCATCACACGGTGAGCACTCCAACACTACTACTGTGGGGAGAGAATGACGCATTCATGGAGGTCGAAATGGCTGAAGTCACAAAGATTCATGTTAAAAACTATTTCAGGCTGACTATTTTGTCAGAAGCCAGTCATTGGCTTCAGCAAGACCAACCTGACATAGTGAATAAATTGATATGGACATTTCTAAAAGAAGAAACAAGAAAAAAAGATTGACTTTTCTTTAACTTCTATGAAGGGTCTGTAATGAAATCTAATAATTTTTAAAAATTGTTCATCAACTTCTTTATGTTTTATTAGGAAAAAACCTGTTTTAATGTGCTTTATCATAAATAAATATCCTGACAAATGGTATTGAAAAGAATCTGAGATTGTGTGAACATGTAATACAATGTTGATTTTCTCCTGGTGTATTTTGCACAGATAAGCATCTGCCTTAAAATGTATACACTTGTACAAAAAGGAAGTTTGGAGTAAGTGGCTCCATTTTGGTTTCTTGCTTTTTTTTTTTTTTTTTTTTAACTGTGTTAACATATGGTGCCTTTTACAAATGTATATCAAAGATTAGCTGTGCCATATTATAAGGCAAACCTGCAAATGATATAAATTTTCATTCTATTGTTCAAAAGTTCTTTTTACTATTTTTTAACCATTAAAAAGTTATATTATCAAATCTCTTTTGGATTTATAGTATATCTATTAGTTTGAAAGCAAAGATAACTAAATGAATATGCATTTTTAAAATGGGCCATATACTATTTATAGTGGGAAGATTAAACCATTTTTTAAAGCTGACATCTTGGCTGGGTGCAGTGGCTCATGCCTGTAATGTCAGCACTCTGGAAGGTCAAGGCAGGAGAATCGCTTGAGGGCAGGAGTTTGGGACCAGCTTGCCCACCAGGTTTCAACAAGGTGAAACCCCATTTCTACAAAAAATTAATAAAAAATAAAATTAGGCAGGCATATGGGTGCACACCTTAAGTCCCAGCTACTCATGAAGCTGAGGCGAGAAGATCACTTGTGTCCAGGAGCTTGAGGTTGCAGTGGGCCATGATTGGGCCGTTGCACTCCAGCCTAGGCAATGGAGTGAGACCCTGTCAGATCAGAAAAGGAAAGGGAAAGGAAAAAGGAAAGCAAAAGGGAAAGGGAAGGAAAGCATCCATTTACCCCACTCAGTGCAGCAAGAATTGAATACTACACTTCTTTTTTTTTTTTTTTTTTAGACGGAGTTTTGCTCTTGTTACCCAGGCTGGAGTGCAATGGCGCGATCTCGGCTCACCGCAACCTCCGCCTCCTGGGTTCAGGCAATTCTCCTGCCTCAGCCTCCTGAGTAGCTGGGATTATAGGCATGCGCCACCATGCCCAGCTAACTTTTTGTATTTTTAGTAGAGACGGGGTTTCACCATGTTGACCGGGATGGTCTTGATCTCTTTTTTTTTTTTTTTTTTTGAGACGGAGTTTCGCTCTTGTTAACCCAGGCTGGAGTGCAATGGCACGATCTCGGCTCACCGCAACCTCCGCCTCCTGGGTTCAGGCAATTCTCCTGCCTCAGCCTCCTGAGTAGCTGGGATTACAGGCACGCGCCACCATGCCCAGCTAATTTTTTGTATTTTTAGTAGAGACGGGGTTTCACCATGTTGACCAGGCTGGTCTTGATCTCTTGACCTCGTGATCCACCCGCCTCGGCCTCCCAAAGTGCTGGGATTACAGGCTTGAGCCACCGCGCCCGGCGAATACTACACTTCTTATGTTCACTAGAATCTAAATTCCACAGGGTTGGGATTTTTTTTGTGTGTGTGGTTTTGTTAACTGATACATACCCAAGTCTAGAATAAGGGCCTGGCACATTGTAGGCAGTCAAATATTTGCTTAATGAATGAATAATATATCTGGCACACTGCTAGGCACTGTGGGGAAAGATATAAAAGAAAGATATAAAACATAAAACTTTCCCTTAAGAAGCATACATAGGCTCAGGCATGGTGGCTCACACTTGTAATCCCAGAAATTTGGGAGGCCAAGGTGGGTGGATCACCTGAGGTCAGGAGTTTGAGACCAGCCTGGCCAACATGGTGAAACTCCATCTTTACTAAAAATACAAAAATTAGCCAGGCATGATGGTGGGTGCCTGTAATCCCACCTACTCGGGAGGCTGAGGCAAGAGAATTGCTTTAACCTGGGAGGCAGAGGGTAGAGGTTGCAGCGAGCCAAGGTCCCGCAATTGCGCTCCAGCCTGGGCCACAAGAGCAAAACTCCATCTCAAAAAAAAAAAAAAAAAAAAAAAAAGATGCATACATAGAATGCAGTTAAACTAAACAAGGGTTCAAAAGTAGAAATGAACACTATAAGTACAAGTTGGAAAAGAGTTACAGAATACAGAAGTATACCAGCTCAGGCTGGGTGCGGTGGCTCACACTTGTAATCCCAGCACTTTGGGAGGCCGAGGTGGGCAGATCACCTGAGGTCAGGAGTTCGAGACCAGCCTGGCCAACATGGAGAAACGCCATCTCTAAATAAATAAATAAATAAATAAATAAATAAAAAATACCAGCTCAAGTGACTACTACTCATTCTCTTGGGTTGTTCTCCTTTAACATCAGAGGCAACCAGTAACACAGCCAAATCACATCACGTAACAGACTACACTGTGTTCCCAAATAAGCCCTAAATTGGTGAAAGGATTGCTTCCCTCATTAAGCATAGTTCTGATCATGACAGAACAAAGTAGAATGTCCCTGAGAATTCTCATTATTGTACCATAGCAACTTGTATTTACAAGGAAAGTCCAGTTCTCTATATAATATGTTGCCTCATAACAACATGCAAGGTAGGTATCACCAATGTGTAAGTGGTAAAAACGTGATTTAACATAGTAGGTGATTTAACATGTAACTTTGCCGATGCCCATAGTGTAAGTGCTGGGAGGCCAGGATCCAACCTAGAGCGATCTGGTGGTAAAGCCCGTGATCGTTCTGCTTATATCAAATACTGTGTAGCAGACTTCAGTATCCACACCATTTTTCTGTTTCAGCAGTAACCTGGTGTGTTTCAATAGATGGAAACATCTTTCAGGAACCTACAATTTGACTTTTAATTTGGAGAGAGAAAAGGAATTCAAATTAGCAATTAGCAAAAACTGGAATAGTATACGGAGCATTGTCAGAGTTGCAAATGGCACAAGGTATAGAAAAAAAAAAATGCCTGGTTCATACCAACTTGATGCTTTCCTCTTGATCCCTCCAGAAGGGCAGCAACAAGGGAAAGGGTGGGACGTGTTGACATAGTAAAATAATCCTCACTTATTTTGATGAAAACCTATTACTGACAAAGTTGATTTTAATATTTGTTGTTGCTACTTACGTCAGTTTAGGAAGGTGACAAGTTCATGTGGACTAATATTAAGAATTTATGAATCGGCCGGGCGCGGTGGCTCAAGCCTGTAATCCCAGCACTTTGGGAGGCCGAGGCGGGTGGATCACAAGGTCGAGAGATCAAGACCATCCTGGTCAACATGGTGAAACCCCGTCTCTACTAAAAATACAAAAAATTAGCTGGGCATGGTGGCGCGTGCCTGTAATCCCAGCTACTCAGGAGGCTGAGGCAGGAGAATTGCCTGAACCCAGGAGGCGGAGGTTGCGGTGAGCCGGGATCACGCCATTGCACTCCAGCCTGGGCAACAAGAGTGAAACTCCGTCTCAAAAAAAAAAAAAAAAGAATTTATGAATCAGACATTCCATGGCCAATTCTGGCCTGTAATAATGAATGTACTCTAATTTTCAATGGTTATGGAAAAGTACTTGTAACAGATATAAAGCCTCATGGGTGCCATCAGTTAAACCTCTTAAGATAAACTGTTATAACTATCGCTGTAGAAATCTATTTGTAGGGCAAGTAGGTGAATTTGACTTACTAGCTGCCAAAGCAGCTCACAGTAAATAAAAACAGGTAATGGCACCCAAATTAAAGTTTTATTTATTAATAATATCAATCTATTCAAATTAATATATCCCTAGTAGTATATATGCCTAATTTAACATCAGAAATTGCTACATTAAAATAATTTATTAAGCATGTCAAGCCGGGCGTGGTGGCTCAAGCCTGTAATCCCAGCACTTTGGGAGGCTGAGGCGGGTGGATCACGAGGTCAAGAGATCAAGACCGTCCTGGTCAACACGGTGAAACCCCGTCTCTACTAAAAATACAAAACATTAGCTGGGCATGGTGGCGCGTGCCTGTAATCCCAGCTACTCAGGAGGCTGAGGCAGGAGAATTGCTTGAACCCAGGAGGCGGAGGTTGCGGTGAGCTGAGATCGCGCCATTGCACTCCAGCCCGGGTAACAAGAGCGAAACTCCGTCTCAAAAAAAAAAAAATAAATAAAATAAAATAAATGTCTTCACCTACCCGTCCCATCGCCAATTTTTCTTGCCCCAAACATTTACCCCTGAGTATTAAAAAGCCAGGTGAGGGGGTGGAACTCGCCCAGTCTTTCGTTGGAAAGAAGTGTCGACATGTCAGGAGGACACAGCAGACAAAGGCTGCCGGTGCCGATTTGAACTCGCGCCTCCCTAAAACATTGAAGTGAATGGTCAACACCAACCGGAAGGGAAAGCAGAGGGGCGGGAAGAAGGAGCCCGAGGATTGGTTTCCGGGCGGGACGGTCCGCGCCGGGCCTCGGGAGGCCGGGTGCCCGCGGGCAGACGTCAACAGAGCCAGTGCGCCTGCGCACGCCGTTCCCGCCACACTAGCCGCCCGGGTCCTGGGTTTCCGAGGCTCCCCACCGCGGTCCGGCTGCTCCGGGACGCCGTCTACACACAGCCGAGAGGCGTCAACCTTTTACCCTAGGGGCAGGATTTTGGTAGGCGCCGGGCGTGCGGTCGGAAACGCCCCGTCCTTCCTCTCGGGCGGGGCGCGCGAGGCTAAGCCCTCCGCCTGCGGGGCGCCGTACTCCGTGAGAAATGGCTGGCTGTGGGGGAGGCAGCGCGGCCCGCTCGGTGCTTCTGGGGTCCGCTGAAGTTGGCAGTAAGGGGTTGCAGAGAAAGGGGCAGTGTGAGCGGCGCCGGCTGAAGGCGTTGGTGTCGGAGCGGCTCAGCCAGGATTTGCTCAGGTAGGAGCAGGCGGGAACTCTGGCTGCTTGGGTTCCCCAGTCGCCCACCTCCGCCCCGAAGCTGGGGCTTCTTTCGGCTCTGCCTCCCGGTCCCTCCGCATTTGCTTCTCTTCGCCTCGGGCGACTGCGGGACGGTCGTCATTCTCCCCACTATTCCAAAGGTGGCTTCCCTCGCCTTATATGACTGGTCCCGAGCACCTCCACTCCATTTACCAGATTCAAAGGGAGAGCAAAAATCAAAGGCTTAGTTACGTGCAGCACCAGTTTGCTGGAAATATCAACACAGGCAAGCTTAGTTGTGTCAAATCACTAAGGTCGGGGTGGATCCAGGTCCTGAAACTTACATAATTTTAAAAATA